ATCAACGCGCGTGCAAATCCGAAATTGTGCGGGAGCACGGCCACAGTCCCAGAGGTAACCGGCTCATAAAGCTGCATTCGGGAGCTGCTCAGGGTAGCGTAGTCCTTGTCGAGTTCTTCTTGCATGGCTACGTAGCGGTCGAATTCCTTGTCCTTTATAGTAACGAAAAACTCCTTCAGCCCATAAAGGCTCCGAACATGGACTGGTGTCACATCGCCGAGCGGCAGAGTACGCTAAAATTGCAGTTTAAAAGGTTACAAATGGTTTAAAGAAAGCGCTGGGATAAGTGGTTATTCGCAAAAAAGGAAGCCACAATAGGGAGGCTCATCGCGTAACCTGATTAGTGAAGGCACATACTACACGTTCTAAGTCTGTTTCAAAGCTCCGAAGGGAATGCGGGCTATCACTGGGTATAGACCTAAAAGCTTAAGTACTGTCAAAAGGCTTTATTTTAATGCGGTTGACCACATGTTCTGTTCCTTTTTCTTATTTACACACATAATGTATACGTAACACGTACCATTCTTTTCAGGAGTTTGAGCACAAGTTTAGGCAGGCGGCTAAATCCAGGGTGCAAAAGAAGAACGTCAACGTAACTGAGAACTGACTGCAAAACATGCACTAGTTGTGCGAACCTGTAACATCTGGCGACGTTTGAAAACTGACGACCTTGAAAGTGCTGCCAACTGTGACTTCAACGTCGGTACAGAACGCCACAGTGGGTGGTAGTAAAAAGACACCATTCGTCGGTTAGAAGCCTAGCATTACCACCCCACTCAGACGTTAATGCGATTGGTGCTAGTACTGTGTTGGAAAGCTAAAAGCAAGTTTTCGCTACCTTGCCAAGAGCCCACCTTTAACTGCAGACACGTTGGAGTCACTCAAATTCGTGTTTTTATAAGTATACAATGGAGAGATCTCAAAGAAAATTTTGACTTTTGCTTTTAGTCTACTTAGACGGGATTTTTGCCGACAAAAGGGAATGGATACAAGATTCTTATGCATAACAAACATGCAAATATGGAAATGAATGGCAGAGAAACGCGAATTGTTTGCTTCGAATACAGACAAAATAAAACTTGAAGGCACATCCACGCCACTATACATTAAGCTGTCAAATGAAAACGAAATTCCGTTGCTAGCTATCCGAGACTAGTTAAATTAACCACACGCCACAAGCCGAATCACAGTTAAAAGCACTACATTGCGTCCCTATTCCTGATAATTAAACTTCTAATATAAATTAAAGGTGTCTTATAGCTGCTTAAAGGCCTGTAATGCTAATAAAGGTTTGAATAGTATTGCCTAAACGCTGCTCTCCAGTGATTTTCGCGGTTAGTGACCCAGTACTAGAAGCTACTACACAAAGTTAAGGAAGATGAAATCGTGGGATAAATTAGCAACCTGACTCGAGGCATAAAAAAACTGAAGACAGTTACTGCCTGGGTATCGATGTCGGAGCCGACTATCCTGTAAGGATTCAAATTATACCACAAAACAAATCGGATGTTGGCGGGTCGTGCCCGCAACTGCCTATCAAATAAAACACTCTGATAGATATTATAGAAGAAAATGCCAGGGCGGATTGTTTACCCTTAATTGGTTGGGATTGCCAATGGTTGTCTGCGATGGGCGCATTTTGAACCTACTAGTGATCCAATGGATTACATTTTCCTTATATTCTACGGGACAGGACAGTTTCAGGAGAAGAGTGTCCTGTCTCCCGGGGCACATGTTGAGAGAGAACTCGGCATTCCATTGATTCTTCAGTTCACGGACATTTCTGTAGAAGAGATGAGGCACAAATGCAGGCTTACTTTCCGAAACGTCCGATCAAGACACCGCCCATACTCGCGGGGACATAAAAGGTCTCGCGCCACGTATCTTTTTCAACAGCTTCAGCCCAAAGCTCGCTTGGGACAAGGACCCGTGGTATTCTCTTGCCACCCATAACTTCGGGAGAATCCTCAAAAATGTCATGATCTGGGTCATCGAAGATGCCTTCAGGGAATTCATACGGTTTGGCTTCTTCGGTAGACTCGGTCTGAGAGCTGCTGGGGGTGATAACTTCCTCTGACATGTCAGAACTAGACATGTTACAGTCTTCATGGTTGACAGTTTCAGCTGTATCTGTTTCGGGATTGTCAGACATAGAAAGACCGGCCAGGCCCTTGACAGTGCTGTCGGGGACCGATGCCATCACAGCGACTTCTGTAGGGAGGATGGTTTCTTCGACTATGTCTTCGCGAGGGGCAACCGACTGTTCACAAAGTCGGGTGTCAATTTCAATTATTCTCACAGGGGACTATAAAGCAAGAAATTAGAGAAATACGCACATACCTGGGAGCGGGTGTCTGCACACAAAGTAGTTTCAGCCTCTGCTTCGGGTAGACAAGAGAGTTCCTTAGTTAATGTAAAATTTAATCAAATTTCCCTACCTCAACAGTTTCTGTGAACTCGCCTGGTAGCGTGTTTTCTTCCGCGTTCTGAAATAAAACGAGACGGATGCTTATAACAGAAGATACAAGAGGGTGGGGAAAAATGAAGCAGTCGAGCTGGGATATTATAACGAATAGAAAAGGAGACCCTGAAAACGTTTGCGGCATTTCGCTTAGGGAATGTGCGCATTCACAGCACGACTTACTAGTATAAGACGATGGTAGTTAATATAAAATAAGAGAAAATATTTGAAACTATTCAACGACCTGTAACTGCCTAAAAATATATGGCAGTACAACCTAAATTGATAGGATAAATCGATTGCAGGTTAACTCCATGCACTGGCGAACGCCCGGCGCCAGCTAGTGCCACATCTTCCAATTACAGCGAAGAAATCCTCCTTAGCCCACATAAAATGTGGTCGCATATTCTTGCCGTTAGAGGAGTATTCGTTTTTAGAATAATGAAAACGCCTAATTAATTAAGCAAACCCAAATTCGGATTTTGTAAACATCGTGCAAAATAGACGCCTGCGTTCCAGTTTTCGATTTTACACAGTTTGCATCGCACGAAGGCGGAAAAAAAATGTCACGCAACTCTGTGTTTCAATGTTCACACTGCACTCTGACTCCGGCGATGCATAACTGCGTCATATTCCAGAAATGGCACAAATCGGAGCTATGATTTATGACGCAGTGCGGAAGGAAAGCAAGACAAAACGGCCACCGCCAAACCGATTTACAGCGTTTCGAATAAAAACGCTCAAGGCGATTAACAAAGGAGTTTAATTTTACCATGGCACCCGAAAAGGTGTGCAGAGTATAGAGAATGCGCGCTTATACCCTCTTACAGTCAACGATTCGTCGAAGGCACCTGGCGACTGAACGTCACAGACAGCCATCGATGACCGATTGGTCAATGCGTCGACCACTATTACTTTTGTCTAGAGGAAAGTAAATAACCGCCAGTTGTTGGCTGTTCTTGTGTGTGCGCGCGCGCATTCGGCTGGTACGTTCTTATGCGTCATTTTCTCTGTTCTCAATCAAAGGCTGCGCGCGAGCGTTACCTAAGTTATGCAAGGTTTGCCACGTATGCTACAGAATATTTTGCCCTCATTTGGTTACTTTAAATTGAAACTTGAGGTAGCTAAATGTTGGGTATATTGAGGAGTTAATCAACGAAGTGGGTGGAGGCGCATTTAAGGGGCCTAATGTCCTAAAGTGTGACGAAACTGATATTACGTCGAATTATAGTTGCGTCACGTTTAACGCATCGAACGCAAGTGCCACGACTATAGGGTATTTTTTGCCAATGGACGATTAGAGCGAAGATATACGGCGCAAATATAACGGTCAGATGATTTATAACGTCAGATGCGTGATGAAATATGCATCTTGACTACTTCTTATTATGTTACATTAGCAGGGACAGAATACGTGTCATTAAAAAGGGTAGCATGAAATGAGCAATCGATAACAGGAATTCGCGACTCGTACTGTGCGTTAGGCGGGGAGTCATGTCAACCTTGGTCCAGTAGACAAGTTGATACGTACTATAGGACAAGCAGTTGGCTGTTATTGCTCACAACCACGTACGTCACGCACACGTGCTGGCGCGGTTCACATTTATTTGGCAAGAAGGCAATACAAGCTTACCGTGATAATTGAATGAGAACGACAACAAAGTTTACGTATACATGTTTGTGAAGGTGTGACCACAACACATTTCGGCGAAATGGCAATATATTGGCTCACGAATATCAACAGACTTAGTGAACTTTCACGAAAGATAAGGGGAACTTTTCCGTAACACATTCTTCGCTTAATAGTTTTTTTCTATTGCAAATGCAAACCTTTCGCATTAGTAATACATGCTGAGTTCTTCGAGGACTCAGAGGTTACTTAGAACGTTTGGTGCTGCCAAACGTAAAAAGGCGCGTCGTAGAAATGCCTCCAGAATTATAATTATGCCGCGACCAAGGAGCTGCCACCTCGAGACAAAGCGTTGCCGTCAACTTGCGTGAGCAGTCTAGAAGAGCTGACAGCCAAGTGAACAGAAAGATTTACTGTCGTTTGAATAAAGACTTTTCGGCATTTATAAAGGATAAGTTTGTAAATTTGATGAGGTTTTGTACGTTGTACTGCAAGAACGGTTAGATCCAGCTTTAAGTCTACAGAGCCCTACAGTATCAATTTGATTGTGCCAAAAGGCACGCCCTTATAGAGAAAAATTGAGACGTCTGGGGGTACATGCGACATAACGCTGTGAGAATTTAACTTGCCCTGAACTAGAGTGACCACTTCACATTGAAATATGCAGAAATGTTATGTGATCTGGCAGCATATTCGTTTAACAACTTAGCTGCAAGTACAGACTTGAGCAAAATTAAAACGCACACGTCTATATGCAATTCGATTCTTCACATGTTCACACGTGGAGAAAAGTCAGAAAGCCTTACATAACTGGTGCACCATCCGAGATTCACAACCCACTGGTTCAACTAACAATGAACCACCATTTTTTCTACTGCAGTTCCCTGCCAGCGACCCAAATCACCCCCGCTGACCTTTGGCTCAAACCGGTCGAGGTTTCGTCTTTTCTCCGTCTCCCAACTTCAACCAGTTTGGACCCAGACGGGGAGTCCTGGTACAGCCAGGGCTACGACACACACGGTGAACCACCGTGCGAGTGGCTCGAAGTTAAAAGTGGCTTTCGCTAGTTGGGTGCCACCTTCAGATGAGATCGAATACTCAACAATACTTATGAACGCCGTACTTAACATTACAGAAGAGTGAGGGGAAATGGGTTAGCATGGTCTGTAGCAGAAGCGTCGGCATTTGGGAATGAAATGCACACGTTATAGTACTAAACTCTGCCTTCCTGCCAAGCTCCGCTGCAGACAGTAGCGGATGACGAAAAATTGTTAGATTTAGATCGTAGGTTCTACTTACATACCAAAGAAAAATTCCAATAATCCTTCAGATTGTTTTAATCAGATCAAAAAGTGATGCGCCTGTCCCTGTGCCCCTTTTTCCTACAAAAAATAAGCGCAAATGGTTTGCTAAATCACTTATTAATTGTGTGACGAAGGCATCATATTATTAGTGTCATATGCGACCGAAACGGTGGTAATATAACGTCCGTGACTTCGAAAAGCTATGTAGGCATGATATAGATGAGATAACACACGTCACAGTTATGCAAAAAGCAATAAAGCAAAAACCTAAACACAGATTTCGAACGCACTGGCGATTTAATAGTGGAGAAGCCTACCTTTAAAGATCGAGCTACTTCTTCGGCACTTTTCTTTTTATATCGA